ATGAAGAATGAATTACATTTTTTATCTCTGTTAAAATTGGTTTTTCACCACAAATTATTGTCAAAAGGAGGCCCATATTTCTCACCAGACTACTCTCCCAACATAATCATTTATTCTCTTTATTAAGGGTTAGTTATATGGGTATATGGCAGAGGTGCCTGTTTCCTCAGCACAAAGCAGAACATGAGAAGGTCATATTTCCCTAAGTGAGGGTTATATTAAGACTGGAAAATGAAAGTAGGTGTAATTAGGACATCCTAAACACAACTGCATTTCCCACATATAAAAGAAAAGAAATGGTCACCAATAAGCATAAAACTCTGTTGATCACTAATCAACAAGAAAATGGTAAATGCTTAAAAAAACTAACCAGAGATTATTTGCAATTGTTACTATTAAGTAAAAACATGGATCAAATTTTGAAACCTTTGACTTTGCTTTGCTTCTAGTTTCTCTGCCAAAGTTCACAAGTAAATAGTTTATGCTTATTAATTAAAGTGTTTACACTAGTTACACTACTGGTTACTGACTGGAGGACTAAGTGAGATAATTCACTTAAAGTGATGATCACAGAGCCTACCACCTAGTAAGCATTCAAAAAATGTTTGCTGTCTATCAGTCAGGATAGGCTAGATTATGATGTTATAACAAACAACCCAAAGATCTCAAGCAATATCTATCACTTCTGCTCACATTTCATTGATCAAAGCAAATAATATGGCTGGAGTTCAGTAAGGTCAGGATACAAAATCTTCCCACAGGAATAAATACCACAGACTTGGTACTTCCTCAACTTGGTAAATAATATCTGCAAAAAATCTACAGCTAACATTATATTTAAGGGTAAGAAACTAGAGGCTTTCCCATTAAGGTTGGGAACAAGGCAGGATAGCCCTTTCATGACTCCTCTTCAACATTACACTGAAAACCTAACCAATGCAACAAGACAAGAAAGGAAATAACCGGTATACGGATTGGGAAGGTAGAAAGAAAACTGTCTTTGTTCACAGATGACATAATTGTCTATGTAGAAAATCCTAGGGAATCATCAAAAAAAGTCTTACTATTAAGCAATTACAGCAAGGTTGAAGAATAAAAGGTTAGTAAACAACCTTAAACAAGCCAAGTTTTTTCTATATTTAGTAATTAATACTTATTATCTATCAGTAGAACTTTTGGGTATTTACTCCAATGAATTGAAAACTCATTCCACAAAAAATTTGCACACAAATGTTTATAGCAGTTTTTTAAAAAAATAATTGCCAAACATGGGAACAAACAAGATATCCTTCATTAAATGAATGGATAAATGAACTGTGGTGGTACATCACACAGTGGAATATTACTAAATAATGATGAAAAGCAATGAGGTATCAAGCTGGAAAAAGACAAGGAAAAACCTTAAATGTGTATTGCAAAGTGAAAGAGGTCCGCCAGAAAAGGATTATACCCCATAATTCCAACTATAGTGCCTTCTAGAAAAGGTGAAATTATAGAAACAGTAAAAAGATCAGTGGTTGCAAAAGACTTGGGGGCAGGTGAGGAAGTGGAAAAAACAGGTGAAACACAGTAAGAGACAGTAAAACTATTCTGTATGATACTATAGGTATATGCATGACATTATGCATTTGTCAAAACCCATAGATCTGTACAACACACAAAGGGTAAATCCCATAAACTATGGGTTTTAGTTAATGTATCAATATTGGTTCCTCAATTGTAACAAATAAATTACACTAATGCAAGATGTTAATAATAGGGAAAACTGAGTGGTGGGGAAAGGTGTATGGCAGTGGTCCCCAACTTTTTGGCACCAGGAACCAGTTTTGTGGAAGACAATTTTTCCACATACCTGAAGTGGGGGATGGTTTTGGGATGAAACTATTCCACCTCAGATTATCAGGCATTAGATTCTCATGAGCATGCAACCAAGATCCCTTGTATATAGTTCACAATAAGGTTCGAGATCCTATGAGAATCTGATGCTGCGAATGATGTAGCAGGAGCTGGAACTCAGGCAGTAATTCGAGTGGCTGCAAATACAGATGAAGCTTCACTTGCTTGCTAGTGTACTGCTCACCTTCTGCTGTGCAGCCTGGTTCCTAACAGGCCATGGACCAGTACCGATCTGTAGCCTGGGGATAAGGGAGCCCTGGTGTATTGGAACCCTTTCTCTTTTCTGCTCAATTTTTCTGTAAACCTAACACTACACTAAACAATAAAGCCTATTATTATTATTTTTGTTTTTGAGACAAGGTCTCACTCTGTTACCCAGGCTAAAGTGCAGTGGTATAAAAACTCACTGTGACTTGACCTTCTAGGCTCAAGCAATCCTCCCTTCTTAGCCTCCCAAGGAGCTAGGACCACAGGCACATGCCACCATACCCAGCTAATTTATTTATCTTTTATTTATTTATGTGTTTTATAGAAACGGCATCTTGCTAGGTCTGGTCTTGAGCCCCTGGTCTTAAGTGATCCTCCTGCCTTGGCCTCCCAAAGCACTGAGAGTATAGAAATGAGCCACTGTGCCCAGCTCTAATAATTTTTTTGTTTGTTTTATATGTGTTCTCAGTCCCTTATAAATTTCTCTTCTCTTTCCATTTAACCACGGGCACCAGCAACCTACCTGAATAAAGTAAAGATCTCATTTAACTTGCAGCATAATTACAGTATACCTTTAAATTTTTCTTTTCACATACTTATAAATATGAATAAGTGAACATATAACTGTTTTCTATATAGTTAATCGCATCAAAATCTACTCAGTTTCCCAAATAAAAAACCAATAATTACACAGAAAAATGTTCCATGATCTCATTTATACAGAGAAATGAAAGGAGATGTAGATCAAAGGATACAAAGTAGGAAACATTCAGGCGGAACAAGTCAAAAGATCTAATGTACTGTTATATATATTGTGAGGATTATAGTTAATAATAATGTATTGCATTCAGTTTTTGCTAAACTAGATTATAGCTGTTCTTGCCACAGGGAGTAAAAATGGGCAACTATGTGAGATAAAGAATATGTTAATTTTTTTCCACAATAGTAACCATTTTATACTATATGTATCTTTGTATCTAAGAACATCATGATATATGCCTTAAATACACATAAAATATATTAAAAACTAAAACAAAAAGAAATCCAAGAGTTATCTTTGATTTCTTCTTCCTCTATATCAAGGTACCACACTCTTGGTTGTACTTCTAAAATTTCTCTCTAATTTGTCCTTTTTCACCCTAAGTGCTATTGCCATTCCAGGCAATCTTTTAAAACATCAATCTATACCACCTTTTGTCTTCACTTTGCTTGACTTCTCTCTATAAGTTCTTTTAGCTATCCGTTCTTCCTATTACCTCCTGGGAAGCTAGTGTGTCTCATAAGGATTAACCTAACTGCTCCTCTTCTCTCCCACCTTCAATCTATCTCCCACACTACAGCCAGGATTATATATTCATAAATTGCAGATCCGGCTGTTTTACATATAGTTAATTTTAGGGCATTTAAAATAATTTTTTTTTTTTTTTGAGACAAGCGCTCACTTTGTCACCCATGCTGAAGTGCATGGTGCAATCATAGCTCACTGTAGTCTCTATCTCCTGGGCTCAAGCGATCCTCTCACTTCAGCCTTCCAAGTAGCTGAGACTAACAGGTCCCACACTACCACACCCAGCTAATTTTTGTATTTTTTTGTAGAGATGTATTGCCCAGGCTGGACTCGAACTCCTAGGCTCATGTGATCTGCCTGCCTTGGCTTCTCAAAATGTTGGAATTATAGGCTTGAGCCATAATTTGAATCTCTTCAGACATTTAGCATAATCTGCTATGTGGGTTGCTTTTCAGATGCTTCCAATTAATTAAATGCTGCAAATGAGTTTCTTAAGCTAGTTTTCCCAAGGAATATGAGGACAGAGACTAACAGGATACAGAAAAGTATCCTGTAACCTGTAATTCCTTTTTTTCCTCTCTCCCTCAACCTCTACTAATAAATGTAGTATTATCTACTACGAATGCAGTTGTTAGAAAACAGTGATATGGGTTACTTCCCTAGGATTTATGTCCCTGTTTTGAGTTAAATCAGCAAGCAAACATGAACATGACTCTAACGTTCCAAGTTTTAAACTCCCATAAACGTGGAGAAATGACATATGGTAGTGATGAATTTTATTCAGCAATGAGTATTACTCGATACCCTTTCACCTGTTTTTCCCTAATGAAGATCAAACTGCTTTCAAATATGGAATTGTTCTCAATTTATTATCTAGGAACAGGAACAGAGTGAACAAGCAAGGCACATGGGGCACAAAATTTAATGGGGTACTTACTCATCTACTCTGTATCTATCTGCATGACCCTAGCAGTACCTATTTATATTTTGTGCCCTTAGTGTCCAACTCAACCTCTCCCTAGTTCTAGCTCTGACATTATTCTAATATATTTTTGAATGTTCAAAGGAAAACTGATCTTCATTTTCTCTTATTTCAACTAGTAAAAGAATATTTTTCAGAAGGGGCACTTTTTATACTTTGCTTGAAAGGGCTCAAGAAAGCATTTAGTTCTACATGTTAATACTCCACCAGTGACATTCAGTAAGAATACCAAAATAAGTATGCAAGTGTGTATATGATGTTAGAGGATATAAAGGAAGACATCATTTCTCACATGGAATTTTGTACATTTAAGTTGACTTCATCTACTAAAATAACAATTGCGTAAGCAATTACATCTAGAAGGAAAAAAAAATTCCAGGTAAACCAATTTAAATAAACAACCTTATTTGCTTAACTGGGGTTTTCTCTTGACTTTTAAAATCCTAAACCTCAACGGAAAAACAAAACAGAATTCCAAGTCCAATTTAAAGCAATGATTGGAGGATCAGAATGCTTACAAAACACAAAAGCAATTAAAACAAATCTTAGAGTTTTAACTTCTGAAGTAAAAGCACCAAAAAAGATAGGAAATCCCATTTTTGCTTATTAAAAGAAAGTTATTCTTACCAGATAAAGCAGAAAGGTGTGCAGCCCTGTTCCAAGCCCAACAGAAGACAAAATTCCTAAGCCTATCCAGTAGGCATACAGAAGAAATTGTTTCTCTATACGTTGCACATACTGAAAAAAAGGGATGAGGTGAAAACATGAATTCTTTATACAGAAATGTGGTATTTAGAAACTGTCATCAAAATTAAATAAACCAACTACAATAAGTTTCAAATAGGAAAAAAATAATAAGATAAAAAACCCACTGAAGAGGCCTAATTTCTTTAATATACAATGGCAAAGATGACAAAAAAATTCATCTAACCAGAATAAAGGACTTGTTTCTAAACCTTTAATAAAAGTCTTTTTTCTAAACATTTAAAGTCCTGCTCTTTACAAGACACAGGAAAAAGCAAATTACAAATAAGATAATTTTGAGGATAATTTTAGATATATTTAAAATAAATACATTTAGAACTATAAAAACTTCTCTGTGATTGGCAGTAAACTGTTTTAAAATACCATTCTAGAACCATTTCCTGTTAAAATATATTAATGTTTGCTATTTTAACAAAATAGGTTAACAAAGCATCCTCTATTCCCATCAGTAATATTGTACTTGTGGACTATAAGCAAATGAACCTGTCTTTTTCTTTTTTATTGTTTTAAATTTTATTAATTTTTTTAGAGATGGGGTCTCACTATGTTGCCCAGGCTGGAGTGCAGTGGCTATTCACAGGCCTGATCCCACTACTGATCAGCATGGGAGTTTTGACCTGCTCCGTTTTCAACCTGGGCTGGTTCACCAGTCCTTAGGCAACCTGGAGGTTGCCCCTGCTCCCGGGACATCACCATACTGATGCCGAACTTAGTGCGGACACCTGATCAGCATAGTGCACTACAGCCCAGAACTCCTGGGCTCAAGAGATCCTCCCACCTCAGCCTTTGGAGTAGCTGGGACTACAGTCACGTGCCACTGTCCCTGGCAAATCTGTCTTTTTATACAAATAAAACTTAATCATCAACTTCAGATGAGAGGCCTATCTATCTGGATGGATCATAAAAGTATGTTAGAGAAAACAAGAAAACTTTAGAAGTGATTAACGAATTCATGCTACTGTAACTGAAAACCTTCAAGAAAGTTACATTTAAATCTTTGGAGGTAGGTCCAGGCAGAGTGGCCTGTAATCCCAGCATTTTTGGAGGCCAAGGCAGGGAGATCACCTGAGGTCAGGAGTTTGAGACCAGCCTGGCCAACATGGTGAAACCCCTTCTTTACTAAAAATACAAAAACATTAGCTGGGTGTGGTAGCACATGCCTGTAGTCCCAGCTACTTGGGAGGCTGAGGCAGGAGAATCACTTGAACACAGGAGGCAGAGGGTGCAGTGAGCTGAGATTGCACCACTTCACTTCAGTCTGGGTGAAAGAGTGAGACTCCGTCTTAAAAAAAAATTTTGAAGGTAAAATGAATCACATATACCAAATATAAATGCTCAGCAGCCATAAAACATCACAAGAATATTTTTAGTGTATGCCCTTAAAAGTAAAACATTTGACATACTAGCTACGAGATAATGTTGAGGGTAGAAATTCTATAAAACCCACATCTGTCCCATTTGAAACTGGGATTAGAGAACTAGGGAATGTGCAAGACTAGAAACAGAATTGCTCAACCTCTCACCTGTTGATGTGCTCCTTCAACATAATACGTAGCTGTAAGCACAGCAAGCAGCAGTAAAAAAGACACCACAATGCTTTGACGATGCCATAATCTTAAAAACAAATTAAAAAAAAAAATAAAGAAATATCCCACAGTCTCACTTTTAGGGTTCATCATTCTCAAAACAATTTCTTGTTGAAGCAGTTAGGTTATCCAGCTCAGCTGGGCTGAGCTATTTTCCTTAAACATCATAGCCTCTTGGAGGAGCAGAAGGGGGTCAAGAGAAGATACACAGGCATAGAACCCAAGTTCTTATCATAAACCCCATTGTACCCTTCCCTTACCCAAAGCCTGATCTTATTAAACCTCAACTTGTAATATGGAGAAGCATTATAATAGAAAGAGCACTGGCCTTCAAGTCAGAGGACCTGGGTCAGAAACCCTTCATGTTGCACTTTGGGCCAGACACTTAACCAATCTGATTCTGTTTGTTGTTTTTAAAATCTTTATTTACTTACTATTATTATTAGTTTTTCTTTTCAGAGTCAGGGTCATGCTCTGTCACCCAGGCTGGAGTGCAGTGGTGTGATCTCAGCTCACTGCAACTTCCACCTCCTGAGTTTAAGTGATTCTCCTGACTCTGGCCCCTGAGTAGCTGGAATTACAGGCATATACCACCATGACCAGCTACCTTTTTATTTTTTTGAGACAGAGTCTTGCTCTGTCACCCAGGCTGGAGTGTAGCGTTATGATCTCAGTTTACCTCCGCCTCCCGGGTTCAAGCGATTCTCCTGCCTCAGCCTCCCGAGTAGCTGGGATTACAGGCGCCCACCACCACGCCCGGCTAATTTTTGTATTTTTACTGGAGATGGGGTTTCACCGTGTTGGCCAGGCTGGTCTCAACCAGCTTGCCTCTGCCTCCCAAAGTGCTGGGATTATAGGTGAGAGCCACTGTACCTGGCCAAATACATGGCTAATTTTTGTGTATATATATATTTGAGACAGAGTCTTAATCTGTCACCCCAGGCTTGAGTGCAGTGGTGCAATCTCAGCTCACTGCAACCTCCACCTCCTGGATTCAAGTGGTTCTCCTGTCTCAGCCTCCTGAGTAGCTGGGACTACAGGCACACATCACCACGCCCAGCGAATTTTTGTATTTTTAGTAGAGAGGGGGTTTTATGATGTTGGCCAGGATGTCTTGATCTCCTGACCTCGTGATCCACTGGCCTTGGCCTCCCAAAGTGCTGGGATTACAGGCTTGAGCCACTGTGCCTGGTCTAAAATGTTTATAATGATAAATTTGTTTTAGCTTCTTTATGGAGATGCCTAAGGATCAAAATCAGCTGAAAATGTTACAAAGTACTTGATAAACTCTTAGTACAATAAAAATGTAAGATAATAGTACAGGTAACTTGGAAGTTCGTGACAGAAGATAAAGCATGTAAAAGTTCAACTTGTTCTTTATGGTACTTGAAACAGGACTTACAAGTACTAAATTTAAAGATAGAACACATTTCCATGGCAGAGTGCTTTTTCATTGGCTCAAACTATTAGTAAAACTGCCACGTATGCTGAACCTTGTCCTGCTACAGAATCAGTGTATCTAAAGTACACAGGCCTGATTTCTCCTTATGGTAAAATCAGGAGAGAAAATATAAATCATATTTTTCAGTGTTCTCCATTGCAGATTCGACATGAAAACACAGTGGACAACTGTGATAATCTAGTAAGCAACAGCAAATACCAATATGTTTCCCTAATCTATTTTTCTTCAACCTAAACAAAGGAGAATAAATATATTTGCATGATAATATTCTAAATGTAATTAATCCATTTTGATGGAGCAGAGGGCAGAAAGTAAGAAATTATTGAGGATTTTTAAAATTAAGAAGTGAAGTTTATTTAAAAAGTAGTAGGAGAAGACTCTTTACTTTGAGGTCCATTCCTTCAAGATTACAAGGGTTTCCAGAGAAAAATACTGCAAGGTAATGAGTGGCTGTCTCCACAGGACAATATTCTGCCTTTCTTCCCGCTCCTTCCTCTTCTTTTCATTCATTGAAGAGGGGTCTGAAAAACAACAGTGCAGAGATTAAAACAGAATTTCTAACATTTATGTTTACTCTCTTCAATCACTTTACATAAAAAGAGTTTTGCTTATCTCCCAAGTAACAACTAACAGTAAGTCTAGAGTCTTGTGAAAATGGCAACTAATACCTGTGGAGGTCAAGGCAGGCAGATCACTTGAGGTGTCAGGAGTTCAAGACCAGCCTGGCCAACATGGTGAAACCCCGTCTCTACTAATAATACAAAAATTAGCTGGGCATGGTGGTACACACCTGTAATCCCAGCTACTTTGGAGGCTGAAGCACAAGAACCCCTTGAACCCAGAGGCAGAGAATGGAGATTGCACCACTGCACTCCAGTTTAGGTGATAGAGAAAGACTGTCTCAAAAAAAAAAAAAAAAAAAAAAAAAAGGGGCACCTAGTCCAAACTCAACATCGAAAGGAGATGAATGACAGTAGTTCCCCCTTATCCACAGTTTCAGTAACCCACGGTCAACTATAATATGAAAATATTAAATGAAAAATTCTGATAAGTAATTCATAAGTTTTATTGTTTTAAATTTAATTTTTATTTTTTTAAGAGAGAGGGTCTCCATTCTGTTGCCCAGGCTGGAATGCAGTGGCATGATCACAGCTCACTTTAAACTACAACTCCTGGGCTCAAGTGATCCTCCCACCTCAGCCTCCCAAGTAGCTAGGACTACAGGTATGCACCACTGCACACCTTTTTGTTTTTTATAGAGATGGAGTCTCACTACGTTGCCTAGGCTTAACTGAAACTCCTGGCATCAAATGATTCTCCTACTTTGGCCTCCCAAAGTGCTGGAATTATAGGCATGAGCTACTGCAGCCAAGGCCCTAAGTTTTATGTCATATGCTGTTCTGAGTAGTGTGATAAAATCTCGCCAGTTCTGCGCCATCCAGCCCAAGACCTGTTTTAGTACATCTACACTGTATATGTTACCCCATTACTATATACAGAACAACATAGTGTTTTTCCATATATCCACTGGGGGTAATGGAATGTATCCTCATGGATAAGGGGGGACTACTATATTATAGTTGCTATTTCTTAGTCAGTGTTACCTAGAGAACAATTGAGACAAAAAGAGAAAATGCTTACTCTTTGCCAACTCCCTGCTTTGACAAACATCAGAACCTTTTGTAGAGGGTGTCCTAAAGAAATGGTACTGAAAATCCAGTAGATCAATTTGGGATAGAGTTATAGATTTTGGGGAAATTACTGAAATAAGTCTAAATTGGTCCACCTTCTATGAAGGTCATTCTATCAACCTAGTGTCATATTACAGAACAAAGTGGTTTAGATCTCAAAATACTGAGGCAAACCAGTTGTTTCCAATCATGGCTCTCCCTTCTACTAATCATGTGATCTTGGGCAAGTTAGTTAATACTTTTGTGCCTCAGTTTTCTCTTCTGTAAAATGGGGATAACAATAGTACATACTTTTCAGGGTCATTGTAAGGATTAAATGAGTTCATATATGTAAAGTTCTCAGAAGAGTTTAACACTTAGTAAGTGTCCAATAATAGCTATAATTGTCATCATCTATTGAAATTACAAAATGCTTTTGTTTGTTTTTTTTTTGCAACAGGTTTCATTCTGTCGCCCAGGCTGGAGTGCAGTGGCAGCATGATCTCAGCTCACTGCAACCTCCACCTCCCTCGTTAAAGCGGTTCTCCTGCCTCAGCCTCCCAAGTAGCTGGGATCACAGGTGTCTGCCACCACACCTGGCTAGTTTTTTTTTTTTTTTTTTTTTGTATTTTTAGTAGCGATGGGGCTTCATCATGTTGGCTACGCTGGTTTCAAACCCCTGACCTCAAGTGATCTGCTCACCTTGGCCTCCCAAAGTGCTGGGATTACAGGCGTGAGCCACTGTACCTGAGACAAAATGCATATACACTGTAAACCGGTAATTCCATTTCTAGGAATGATTAGGTATAAGGTGAAATGACTTGCACAACTTTATTCACTGAAGCATTATTTGTACTAACAAAAAATAATAACTTTAATATTACCAATAGAGGACAGAACAGTGATTAAAGTATAGCACACTCATATAATGGAATGAATAATAATAAGCAGCCATAATAAAGAATACTTTTTTTTTTGAGACAGGTTCTCCCTCTGTTGCCCGGGCTGGAGTGCAGTAGCATGATCATAGTTCATTGCAGACTTGTGGGCTCACACAATCTTCTTACCTCAGTCTTTTGAGTAGCTAGCTAGAACTACAGGTGCATATGATCACGACCAGCAAATTTTTAAAATTTTTTTTGTAGAAATCAGGTTTCTCTGTGTTGCCCTGGCTAGTCTCAAACTCCCGGGCTCAAGCAATCCTGTCTTGGCCTCCCCAAATAGTTGGGATCAAAGGCATGAATTACGACACCCAGCCTAAGAATAAGTTTTTCCTGTACAATTATAGCACAATCTCGAAAATATTAAATAAAAAACACACTGTACAAAAGAGTAAGTATGACATGCTAACGTTAATTTTAAATTCCAATGGGGTGAGCAGTAGAGGAAGAATATAAAAATGTATGTGCTTGCTAAAAGGAAAGAAAAAAATAGCACACAAAAGCTCCTAATGGGAAGACACTATGATGAATGCCATGCCCATCTCCAAATCCTAAAACATTTGGTGAAATTGCCAAGTTTAATGACAATCAAAGTAACCCGAAAGACAGATCACTGCTGGAAAATGTCCTCTGCAAGGCAATATGGTAATCAAAACAAACAAATGATAACTACTATTTCAGATAGCTTGCACTTCCTCTAAAAGAAGAGAATTTCTGTGATAATATTATCACACTAGAGTATTACTTGTAATCTGTTTGAGATGTCAAACAACTCAGAAACTAAAAAAAACAGTATGATTACTAGAAAAGAAAAACTTTTTTTTCATTTTCCTTTAAGGGCATGAAGAAAGTTTCTACTTAAATCATTCATATTAATAAAAGTCATCATTTTCAGGACAACTCTATAAACAAGAGTCAAATATACTGAAATTTACCACAAATTCCAATTTGGTTAAAATAAAAGTTTATCTCAAGCTATAATTTTAAAATCAATTTAAAAATAATATTCACATTCTAAGTTTTTTGATAACTGATAAAGAACAGTGCAATAAATTTATAATCTACTTCTAGCGTTACAAAATAGCACAATAAAATTGAACATGGGGCAAAGCCGAATAAACACTGACCATACCATAAGATTAACAAGTAATAATCTTGTACTTAGAACACTGCTTAATTGTGGCCAGGTTGCTTCTGCCATCACTATGAAAAATCACCTTACAGGCCCTGACCCATAATTTAATTTACTAAGAAGATATTAATATAAGATTAAAAATATAAGAAGTAATACTTCTCTATTTTATTCCAATGAAAAGTATATAATTTAAACCCGTAGCTTTCCTCCCTCCAAACCATCAAAATTTACCTGTGAAATTTCCATTATGTTGTTCCTTGTTCATTGCTACACGCCTCTGGTCACAATTTTTTCCATTCTCTGCCATTTCATAGATCAGTAAATCTTGAGGAGCTAATACAGCAAAATAAAATCCAGTAATACATTACAAACTTCTGCTGTGTAGCCATGATTGAATAAAACTGAATACAGGAATAACATCACAGTAATAACTGACACAATATATGTTTATATGTTTTTCTTTTATAAACAAAATTTGAACAATTTGTATAGATATTCTAATACAAACAGTAAAAATATAAAAGCCATTTAGCTGTAAATATTTTCCTAGTAGTTATTTCAGAGATTTTCCAGATTAAAATTTGGAGGTAATTTGTCCACAGAAGGAGGATATTAAACACTAGCACCGCCAAATGTTAACACACTATAAAGTCTAACATCCTTCTAATTTACAATTTAATATCATAGCACTATGTACTCAAAATTAATCTTATCATTTCTTTTTTCTTTTCTTTCTTTTTTTTTTTTTTTGAGAGGGAGTCTCATTCTGTTGCTCAGGCTGGAGTGTAGTGGTACAACCTTGGCTCACTGCAACCTCCGCCTCCCAAGTAGCTGGAATTACAGGTGTATGCCACCACGGCCAGCTGATTTTTGTATTTTTAGTAGAGACAGGTTTTCACCATATTGCCCAGGCTGGTCTCAAACTCCTGACCTTGTGATCCACCTGCCTCGGCCTCCCAAAATGCTGGGATTACAGGCATGAGCCACTGTGCCCAGCCCATTTTTATTTTTTTACCATTTCTTTCATATTCCCTTCACATTAGTCAGATAAAAATAGAATATACTAAGAAAGATGTTGCAAATGTTGATACATAAATCTAAGATCACAGACCAGTTTTATTTAGAAAACAACTCTACTGAATAAAATGATATGGGCAAAGAAAATACAAATTTGAAATGTTTAAGATAGTTAAATGTACTTCATACTACACTTATCAGTGCTTTTACTTCAAGTCACTGTAATACAACATATAAACTGTGCTGACATAATTGTCCTACACAAACACCAGATTGCCTGTGACTGTATCACTCTTCAGGTGTTATTAAAGCAAAACTTTCTACTCAAAAAGCACATCACTTCAATAAAGGCTAAAATGCTGAGTCCTTAATACAATATTGAAACTTGCCCAGACTCATAAAAAGACAACTCGGGCCAGGTGTGGTGGCACATGCCTATAATCCCAGCGCTTTGGGAGACCAAGGTGGGATGATTGCTTGAGGTCAGGAGTTTGAGGCCAGGCTGGGCTACACAGTGACATCCCATCTCTATAAAAGATAAATAAATTAGCCAAGAGTGGTGGCCAATGCCTGTAGTTCTGTTGCTCAGGAGGCTGAGGTGGGAGGATTGCTTGGGGTCAGGGGTTCAGTCAAGGATACAGTGAGCTATGATTATGCCACTGCACTACAGCCTGGGCAAGAGGGAGACCCTGCTTAAAAAAAAAAAAAGGCTGGGCATGGTGGCTCATGCGTGTAATCCCAGCACTTTGGGAGGCCGAGGCAGGTGGATCACCTGAGGTTGGGAGTTCGAGACCAGCCTGACCAACAAGAAGAAACCCCATCTCCACTAAAAGTACAAAATAGCCAGGCGTGGTGCACATGCCTGTAATCCCAGCTATTTGGAAGGCTGAGGCAGGAGAATCACTTGAACCTGGGAGGCGGAGGTCGCGGCGAACCGAGATCGGGCCACTGAACTCCAGCCTCAAGACAAAGCAAGACTTTGTCTCAAAAAAAAAAAGAGAAATACAAGAAATTTCCTATTAAATATATATTCTTAAAGAAAATAAAAATAAATACAATCCACAGGAGAAAGTAATTACAAATCACATATGTTTCATAAGAAGCTTGTATCTATATTTTTTGAGACAGAGTTTCATTTTTGTTGCCCAGGCTGGAGTACAACGGCATGATCTTGGCTCACTGCAACCTGTGCCTTCTGGGTTCAAGTGATTCTCCTGCCTCAGCCTCCTGAGTTGCTGGGATTACAGGCATGCACCACCATGCCCAGCTAATTTTGTATTTTTAGTAGAAACAGCGTTTCTCCATGTTGTTCAGGCTGGTCTCAAATTCCTGACCTCAGGTGATCTGCCTGCCTTGGCCTTCCAAAGTGCTGAGATTACAGGTGTGAGCCACTGCACCCGGCCAGAAGCTTGTATCTAGACTGTAAACTCTTACAACTCAGTAATAAAAAGCAAATAATCCAATTAATAAACAGAGGAACTGCACAGATACTTCTCCAAAGATATACAAATTGCTAATAAGCACATAAAAAGATGTCTAACATCTTTAGCTCTCAAGGAAGTGCAAATTAAACCACAATGAGATACAATCTCATACCTATTATGATAGTTTTATAACTATCCTAATAAATAGATTAAAAACTATCCTAATAAATAGTAAGTGCTGGTGAGGATGTGGAGAAATCAGAACCCTCATACACTGCTGGTGGGAAAGCAAAATAGTCCAGTGGCTTTGGAAAACAATCTGTCAGTTCCTCAAAAGAGAAAATATAAGCTGGAGTACAGTAGTGTGGTCTCAGCTCACTGTAACCTTCGCTTCCCGAGTTCAAGCGATTCTCCTGCCTCAACCTCCCTAGTAGCTGGGATTACAGGTGCCTGCCACTGCACCTGGCTAATTTTTTGTATTTTTAGTAGAGATGGGGTTTCACCATGTTGGTCAGGCTGTTGTTGAACTCCTGACCTCGTGATCCGCCCCTTGGCCTCCCAAAGTGCCGGGATTATAGGTGTGAGCCATGGCACCTGGCCTGTAACCCAAATGTCAACTGATGAATGGATATAGGAAATATGGTATATGTTATATATAACAATGAAGTACTACTCAGCCATAAAAAGAAATGTAGTAGTAATAAATGCTACTGCATCAATGGACTTTGAAAATATGCTAAGTGAAAGGAGTCAGTCACAAAAGACTGCATGTTATGATTCCAATTTATATGAAATGCCCAGAATATGCATATCCATAATAACGAAAGTAAAGTAGCAGATTAGCTGGAGAAAAATGGGGAGTGGCTGCCAATAACTTGTCAGTTTCTTTCTGGGTTGATGATAATGTTCTCAAATTGTTTTGATAGTTGCACAGATGTGAATATACTGTTTAAATGGGTGAATTATATGGTACGTGAACTATGTTTCAATAAAGCTGTTTAAGAACAGTCACCAGCAGGAACTATCAAAACTTGCAAATATTCATACAAATATATTCATAGGAAACATACATTATGAACATATATAATATATTCATAGAAAAAGAATGGTATACTGTTCTACAAATCTCATTCATTCATTCATTCATTCATTCATGCTACCCAGGCTGGTCTCAAACTCCTGGCCTCAAGCAATCCTCCTGTCCCAGTTTCCCAAAGTGGTGGGATTATAGGCATAAGCCACTATCCAGGTTTCTCTATATTTAATAGAGGACCCAAGAGTATTAGGAGTATTCTCATGGCTAAGTGGCTCAAATTTTTCTATTTTATGAGCAAATTCAGTGACAGTTTAGAATTAAAAGTCAGATATAGGAGTTAGGGGGTTATATTATTAAGAAAGAAAACTCATGAAATCACTTTATACGGTGCTTATATAAGGTTTGTTTACCTATTCGCTCAACAAATATTAACTGAACACTCTGTATGTGCCAAAAGTCATGCTACAATTATATTTAGCTGATCAGAATATGATATGGTCATGGGTTGGTCCAATCTTCCTATAGTTTATCTGATGCTAATTTATCCCTTGACTAAACTCTATTGTAACTATTTTCAAAATGTATGCCTCATAAAGGAAAACAAGTGAAAGACTTTAAATCATTGCTGAATAAGCAAATAAACATATCAAGAAATCAAATATAGGTTTCTATTAGTATAGACAGCCTTAAGTAGATAATCATAAAATTTAAAATCTGAAAAATCTGGATTTGATCCCAGATTTGCCCCTAACTAGTTGTATGATCTTAAGCAAAGTTTCACTTTCTTTAGGCTTTGATTTTTTTCAGATTCACAAAATGAGGACAATAATTGCCACTTTCAATCAAATGACTGATGTGTAGATGAAAAAAATCTATGCATGCATATATACGTTGTTGATATACATGCATGTGTGACTACAAATGCCAATACATCAAAAGGGTAGGAGGTAGTAAACCTACAAAATGCCTAAACTAGAAAAACAACTTCACAGCACATGCCTCATTGTTACCATATCAGTGATGCCACTGTTGTTCATTCAGCTCTCATTTATAAAGTTCTGGGGTCTCCCATGGGCACTGAGGATACAAATATGAATAGGATAAAGAGATCCCTGATCTCAAGAGGATCACAGTCTGGTAAAGAAGCCAAATGAACACAAATCAATTATAACAGAATGGGATGAAATAGGTATTTTAATAAAATTAGATGAAAAGACAATGTTTTAGTCAAGTGTTAAGAATCTAACAGAATTGGGTTTACTCACGCTTCACAAGTAACTACTCTATGAACTTAGAGAAGTTTGTAAATCTCTCTATACATCAGTTTTCCTTAATTTGTAAAATAGAGATAACATAACATGACACACATCAGAGGGTTGAGGATTAAACAAGGTAATGTATGTAAAATGCTAACATATTGCCTCACCTTTCATATGACCTCAATAAATACTAGCTATGATGAAGACCATCAAGAAGAAAGTACTATGAGAGCTCAGAGGACAACTTATCAGACGAGTTCATAGAAGGTGAAAGTTTGACTCTGCAAACTTAAGTCATACTTGTGGGAAGATTCTGCCAAAAGACAATGTTGCCCAAGCAATTACAAAACAACAACAGAAACCAAAGATGCTAGAGCTTCACAATAGGTTTACAAAATGGAAGTCTATTTCACAAATCTGAATTTTATTAATTAAAAAAATCAACTGAGGATGTTTGAAATTGAACCATAAAAAAAAAGTTAATGATTTTCCACCTGCCAGTCATTTAACTTGAAGCTATACTTAAGTTCTGCAAATACTTAAAACTACGTGGGTTTGGCCAGGCACGGTGGCTCAGCCTGTAATCCCAGCACTTTGGGAGGCTGAGGTAGGTGAATCATCTGAGGTCAGAAGTTTGAGGCCAGCCTGGCCAACATGGTGAAACCCTGTCTCTATTAAAAATACATAAATTAGCTGGGTATGGTGTCTCGTGCCTGTAATCCCAGCTACTCAGGAGGCTGAGGCAGGAGAATGGCTTGAACCCAGGAGAGGCAGAAGTTGCAGTGAGCCGAGATCATGCCACTGTGCTCCAGCCTGGGCAACAGAGCAGGACTCCATCACAAAAACAAAAACAAAACAAGCAAACAAACAACCTATGTGAGAACATATTCAGCCAAATCCTATAGGCAATATCTTTTAAAGATATTTAAATATTTAAGGATATCTAAATACATAACAAATATTTACATATAAGATATTTAAGGATATTTAAGATATTTTAAAGCCAGCCATTCATCTATATCACAGTAAGCAAAATTTATTTAATTTGTAATGAAAAGATAAACAGGACACAAAAGGGTTTGCATTACAAGTAACTTTCTAAAACCTTTCCCCTACAAAACACTGACAATTGAATTCATTTGCCCCTATTTACTCTTTCCCATAGGGTCATCTTCAAAAGATAAAGAGTTTTACCCAAAACATTTTGGGTCTATGAGTTCATACTCATAACAATGGGATTGCACAATTATTTGAAGGTTTTGTTTTTAAGCCATTGCATCAGTGATTTTCATTTGAGCAAATAATGTGTTCTTAAACAATGTGCTAAAAAAGAACAGCATACTGACATTTCCTTCCCCAAAATTCTCCCTAGAAAACACAAAACAATAGTCTGAAATTTTGTTTTATAATAAATTACCCAGGGAACAAAGTTATTTTCATCAGTCTACTTTTTCACAAACAAAATAAATTTGTAGTTTAAAAAACAACTTTTCATTCCCAAAAGAAGGAACTATAGCATAAAGCCAAACAAGAAAGCCACTGAGTTTCTAAACAGTTAAGCTTATAAAAGCATCAACCCTCCCCAACTTTTTTTTTTTTTTTTTTTGCATTTTGACCATTTAGGATGGTTAAAACTATCCTAAGTATGAAACAACCAAACTAGAAAAACCACGCACTAGTGTTCTAAATAGTTAAGCTTATAAAAGTTTCAAAGCTTTTCTGCATTTTGACCATTTTGTAAAGGATTTTATATTTTTCCTTGCCTTTCAAAATTCCCTTGAAAACATCCTCAATTACTTTGCCTTTTCTTCCCCCAATCATACATACTGTAAAACTTTGTAAAACTGCAATGCCTCTGGAATCACCTGCATTCTTATGATCTAAGTAGCTGAACATAACTCAAGAAAATCATACAGTTACACAGGCAGTTCAAATTCTTTTTTTTTTTGAGATAGAGTCTCGCTTTGTTGCCCAGGCAGGAGTGCAGTGGCACAAGCTTGGCTCACTGCAACCTCTACCTCCTGGGTTCAAGTGATTCTTCTGCCTTAGCCTCCGGAGTAGCTGGGACTACAGGCATGTGCCACTACACCTGGCTAATTGTTGCATTTTTAGTAGAGACGAGGTTTCATCATATCGGCCAGGCTGGTCTCGAACTCCTGACCTTGTGATCCACCTGCCTTGGCCTCCCGAAGTGCCGGGATTACAGGCATGAGCCACCTTTCCCAGCCTCAAATTCTTAATTCAAAAAATATATATCAACTGACTACTATGTGCCAGTTATTATTATTATTATTATTAAGACAGAGTCTCGCTGTGGTCACTCAAACTGGAGTGCAGCGGCTCACTGCAACTTCCGCCTCCTGGGTTCAAGCGATTCTCCTGCCTCAGCCTCCCAAGTAGCTGGGACTACAGATGCCTGCCACCATGCCCAACTAATTTTTGTATTTTTAGTAGAGACGGGTTTTCACTATGCTGGCCAGACTGGTCTTGAACTCCTGATCTGCCTGTCTTGGCCTCCCAAAGTACTGGGATTCCAGGCATGGGCCACTGCGCACAGCCTATTTTCATTTTTAAGACAGTCTCACTCTTAATTCCGCAGACTGGAATGCAATAGCACAATATTGGCTCACTGCAACCTTCGCCTCCTGGGTTCAAATGATCCTCCTGTCTCAGCATCCCAAGTAGCTGGGACTACAGGTGTGCACCACCATGATAGGCTAATTTTTATATTTTTTGTAGAGATATAGTTTCGCCATGTTGGTCAGGCTGGTCTCAAACTCCTAGGCTCAAGTGATCTGCCCATCTCAGCCTCCCAAAGTGCTGGGATTACAGGTGTGAGCTTCTTCACCCTGTCCAATTATTAAGATGCCAAATCTCAAAACTAAAATTGATGACTCCTATTAATAAACATTTTTTTTTATTCTGACAACTATTTCATTCTTTGTTCTCACTCCCAAAACATTTTACCCTCCTTTCTCCTCTCTTATTTTCAACATTGACTTTTTTTTTGAGACAGGGTCTCACTCTGTCCCCCAGCCTGGAGTGCAATGATGTGATCATGGCTTACTGCACCCTCGACCACCTGGGCTCAGGTGATCCTCCCATCTCAGCCTCCCAAGCAGCTAGGACTACAGGTACATGCCACCATGTCCGGCTAATTTTTGTATTTTTTGTAGAGTCTGGGCCACCATGTTGCCCAGGCTGGTTTTGAACTCCTGGGCTCAAGTGATCTGCCCACCTCGGCCTACCAAAGTGCTGGGATTACAGGCATGAACCGTGTCCAGCCCTGTTTCATTTTTTTAAATAACAAAAGTAGTGAGAGAATTCACCAATCCCTCTACTACTAAGCCTACTAAAATATTCATACCTCCACCCATGTTAGCAATCGTTCTCTCTTTATGACACTGCAATGTCCGCAGTGTCCTCTACTTAACAAAGGCCATTACGTCAATATATGTATCATTCCCTTCCTCCTTCTCAGGGACTTTGGTCTTTCTGTTCTCACTGTGTACTCAATCTTTACCCCTTTATTCTCACCAGAAAATAAGTATTCAGTATTTCCCATTTTTCACTCCTTCTTCATAAACGGTTCTCAAAAGAGTTGCCTACATACACACAGTCTCCACTTACACATCACCAAATTTCTGCTCGATCCATTATGATATGACTTGTGCCCCGACAAGTAAAAATAAATTGCTTTTGTCAAGATTGCCAATGACCTCCATTTGCCAAATCCAAAGGACACATCTTACTGAACCTCTTACCTTCACTGAACACAAGTATCCACTCCCTATTTCTTGAAATACTCTTGTTTTTCTATTTCTCGACAGCTCCCCCTGCTCTGCTTCCTGGGGTTCTTCAAAGCCTGGTCCTAGATTCCTTTTTCTGTTCCCTTTATACATTTTCCCTAATGATGTCATCTATTCACTCAGCCTTAAATACCCTCTACTTACTGACAATTCTTTCTTTCAAAGGCAAAATAATGTTGCAATAGTGCTTAAAGAAAGTGCTTTATAAATATGCTGTAAGAATAATTAGAATCACAGAAGAAACCTTAGAGAGTATCAAGCCTATTCTACTACTTATTCACAGACAAACATCTCAGAGGTAAGTGACTTATATAATATCACAAAACAAGGTAGTGAGAAACCTGGAAGCAGGACCCAGATACAACGGTGATCTTAGGAGTACACTGACCTATTGGGAAGACAATTCCACCCTGCAAACTAAATTTAAAATTATTTTTCTGAGATTTTTGAAAGGGACAACCTCAATCTAGGAAAGTTAGGTAATATAAGAGCTGGCCCCAAAATGTGATTAGGAGTTAAAGACTCAATCTTTTCTCTTTTCTTTTCTTTTTTTTTTTTTTTTGAGGCAGTCTTGCTCTGTTGCCCAGGCTGGAATGCAGTGGTGCAATCATGGCTCACGGCAACCTCTGCCTCCCAGGTTCAAGACATTCTCCTGTCTCAGCCTTCCCAGTAGCTGGGATTACAGACACCAGCCACCATGCTTGGTAAATTTTTTGTATTTTTAGTAGAGACAGGGTTTCACCATGTTGGCCAGGCTAGTCTTGAACTCCTGACCTCAGGCAATCTGCTTGCTAGCCTCAGCCTCCTAAGTGTTGGGATTATGGGCATAAGCCACTGTGCCTGGCCTAAGACTCAAATCTAATCAAATTGGGAGTACAGGTTGCTGTAAGTTTTTGTTTTTATCAGAAAGAAGTGGTACAGAATGCTGTAAGTTTTTTATGTTACACTGGGGGGCATTATTAGGCTGGGCTCATAACCATAAAATTTTAACTAAACTACCTGAAAAAAAGTAATTTAAGAGGATTGGTTTTATGATAAAAGAAAAGTTCAACAAGACTAAACGGCAAATCTATCTCTAGCACAGTGCAGCAGAAGTTACTAAGGCTATGTCTTCTATCTACCAGGGCACAAAGCATTATGATTATCAAGGCCTTTGATCATCTTGCCTTCCACCTTTGAGTTCATGCTCCCAAATAATATTTTGATTATAATCTGGCTTCTCATGCAGATTAGCTATAAGAGAATATGCTTGTAATGGGCTGAACTGTGCCCCCACCAAATTCATATGGTGAAGTCCTAACACTCACGTGACTATAATTTGGAGATACTACCTTTAAGAAGGTAATTAAGGTTAAATGAAGTAATAAGGCTGGTACCCTAATAGGGACTCAGTCCTTATTGGAAGAAGCACCAGACTCTTCTACCTAGACACACAGGAAAGACTATGTAAGGACACAGAGAGAAGGTAGCTGTCTGTAAGCCAGGAAGAGAGTCCTTACCAGAAATCAACCCTGCTTGATCGAGGCACCTTGATCTTGGACTTCCAGCCTACAAAACTGGGAGAAAAAATTTTCTGTTGTTTAAGCCATCCAGCCTCTGGTATTCTGTTATGACACCCTAGCAGAGCAATACAAAGATGATTAGTATAAATAAGGGTATCCAGATTGCAGAATAGTTTAGTTTATTTTGTTTTGCTTTGTTTTGTTTTTGTAGAGACAGATTCTGTTACCCAGAGTGATCTTCTGGGTAACAAGTGATCCTCCTGTCTCGGTCTCTCAAAATGCTGGGATTACAGGTGTGAGCCACCTTGCCTATCTAGACTACCTTTCATCCAGAAAAACCTGATGTATTTTATTGCATATGTCTTCAAACTGCAACAGTGACTAATCCAGCATTAACATACCCTGTTTATCTTACTCATTATATGACCCATTTTATAGGGAAAAAGGGAAACTTGGTGCTTGAAAGCTGCCAATAGGTCCTGACTACAAGTTATATGACTTCAGATTAAATAATCGGCATTTGAGCATATTTGTAAAATATCTGCATCCTTATTATTATTTTTTGAGATGGAGATTTGCTCTTGTTACCCAGGCTGGAGTACAATGGTGTGATCTTGGCTCACTGCAACCTCCGCCTCAAGCCTCCCAAGTAGTTGGAATTACAGGTGCATGGCACCATGCCAGACTAATTTTTGTATTTTTAGTAGAGACAGGGTTTCACCATGTTAGCCAGCCTGGTCTTAAACTCTTGACCTCAGGTGATCTGCCTGCCTTGACCTCTTAAAGTGCTGGGATTACAGGCGTAATCCACAGTGCCCAGCCCCATTCCTATTTTTATGTCATCCTTAAATGTGTTTGTTTTGCTTTGGGGAACTCTCAGGAATTTAGCTCCTCTACTTTAATTTTTTTTTTAGAAGGAATTTTGTCTTGTTGCCCAGGCTAGAGTGCAATAGCGCAATCTCAGCTCACTGCAACCTCTCCTCCTGGGTTCAAATGATTCTCTAGTCTCAGCCTCCCAAGTAGCTGGGATTACAAGCATGTGCCATCATGCCCTGATAATTTTTTGTATTTAGTAGAGAAGGGGTTTCACCATGTTGGTCAAGCTGGTCTAGAACTCCTGACCTCAAGTGATCCACCTGCCTCAGCCTCCCAAAGTGCTTGGATTACAGGTGAGAACCACCACACCTGGCCAAGATAAATTATATAAAAGTGCACTACACAGTGACTTGCACATAGCAGTCACTTAATGTTAGTTTCTCCCTGCTCTTTAAATGCAGTATCATACCCATCAATCTACATGCCTCTTGAATGTCACACTTTTCCAAAAAACCATGGTAAATATTGCCCTGAGTATTCACTTAAAGGTACCTGCTTTCCATATTAGTATGCTATACAAAAGCCTATGTAACTGGTTTCCATACCCTACATAACAGAAACAGCCACAGATTTAGAACAATCTTAGTTTATGTTGTATAACAATGAATAATTCTTCATCATCTAAACATCTTAAAATGTACTACAAGGACAACCTTTTTTTTTTTTGAGACAGAGTTTCGCTCTTGTTACCCAGGCTGGAGTGCAATGGCGCGATCTCGGCTCACTGCAACCTCCGCCTCCTGGGTTCAGGCAATTCTCCTGCCTAAGCCTCCTGAGTAGCTGGGATTACAGGCATGCGCCACCATGCCCAGCTAATTTTTTTGTATTTTTAGTAGAGATGGGGTTTCACCATTTTGACCAGGATGGTCTCGATCTTGACTTCGTGATCCACCTGCCTCGGCCTCCCAAAGTGCTGGGATTACAGGCTTGAGCCACCGCACCCGGCCCTACAAGGACAATCTGCCAAAAATTATTATGACGTAAAAGGGTTCTAGTCTATCCACATAGCTAAAGTAAGATGAAATAATCATTTTTAGAGAGAGCCACTTTTCAAAATTCAATAAAGTAGCAATAATTTTTGAAATCTGTGATGATACAATGTCAGTAAGATTCCTAGATGTAGGAGTAAATCAAAGTATTACTAGTCTGTTTAAAATACTGAAATATCCTCAAACAGAAATCTGACACATATTCTTGACCTTCAATGGTATCTACTTTGCGCTGAGTGCATGTATGTTAGTTTTCTTTGTAAAAATGAGGTTGCTGAAAGAAATATTATAGGTCCGTGGATGGGGTTGAGAAGACAGAAACCGGGTAGAAACATAACTCAAATATCAAATAATTTTCATTGTAAACACTTATCTAGATACAAGAAATACATTAAAGGAGTGTAACAGACCTTAAATACAGCTGAGGCATTTAAAACTGAGTTAACATTAAATGTGGGGTTATTTGTTTCCTGCAGAAGTGCTTAGAAAGCACTGCAAAAATAGCTCACAAAGGTTCTTTGTAGGCTGTATATCCAGTGCTAAGACTATAATACTCCATTCATCTTAAACATTAGCCACACTTGTAATACAAAAACAATGTGCAAGTAAATTACTGAGAGTTCCCCAAAGCAAAACAAAAACCATTTATGGATGACATGATAAAAGCATCTCCCCAAGTAATATGAGAGTTACTGGAAAAGTTAACAAAGTAGAAAAGGAAAAGAAATTGAGAGCAACAAAGCCATTGATTTTTATTTTCTTGGCAACATCATTCCAAAATAAAACATATTTCTTTTTGTTAAAAAAAATCATCTATCCAAATGAATTCTACTTTCTCAAAAAAAAAAAAAATTATGTCAGTGTGCTCAATAAAACACATTGTTCTCACAAGGCACAAAAAGACAGCCAAAAAGTATTACACTTCTCAGTAATGTTTCTTGCTTTCAGAAGTATCTATTTTTTAAAATTTGTTTTGTGACAGGTCTTCCTGTGTCACACAGGCCAGAGTGCAGTAGCACAATCACAGCTCACCACATCCTGGAACTCTTTGGGCTCAAGCAATGCTTCAGCCTCAACCTCCAGAAGTATCTATTTTTAATTGGATTAGACTACTCCAAATTAGCTGTAGATTTCCCTAAAACTGTTAAGATTAAGGAATTGTGATTTACGCTTAGAAACAAAATAAATAATCTGAGTAATGTATCTTGACAAATGAGGCTTTGATACAGTTTTCCACTTGTGCAGGGGTATAAAGCCAAAGATAATTGAAATAAAATGCACAGGCTGGGCATGGTGGCTCACACCTGTAATCCCAGCACTTTGGGAGGCCGAGGCGGGTGGATCGCCAGGTCAGGTGTTTGAGACCAGCCTGGCTAACATGGTAAAACCCCGTCTCTATTTAAAATACAAAAATTGGCTGGGTGAGGTGGTGGGTGCCTGTAATCCCAGCTACTCGGGAGACTGAGGCAGGAGAATTGCTTGAATCTGGGAGGTGGAGGTTGCAGTGAGCCAAGATCATGCCATTGCACTCCAGTGTGGGTGAAAGAGTGAGACTCTGTCTCAAAAAAAAAAAAGCACAATATCAGAGTAACTACCATATCATCTGACACTCTAAATCAGATAACAGTATCTATCACGTGGTTATGCCAGTTAAATAACATGTACTCTGAAAATTCATAACGATGTGAATGGGAATATATGAAAAAAATGTATTGACTCTTTTTCAACTTTTTTTTTTTTTTTTTTTTTTTTTGAGATGGAGTCTTGCTCTGTCGCCCAGGCTGGAGTGCAGTGGTGCTACCTCGGCTCATTGCAACCTCCGCCACCCACGTTCGAGTGATTCTCCTTCCTCAGCCTCCCCAGTAGCTGAGATTACAGGCGCCTGCCACTGTGCCTGGCTAATTTGTGTATTTTTAGTAGATACGGGGTTTCACCATGTTGGCCAGGCTCTTCTTGAACTCCTGATCTTGTGATCCACCTACCTTGGCCTCCCAAAGTGCTGGGACTACAAGTGTGAGTCACCGTGCCCAGCAAATTTTTTCCAACTTTCTAAGGTCTTTGGGAGGACTGGGCATGATGGTTCACATCCATAATAATTCCACCATTTTGAGAGGCTGAGGCAGGAGGATACTTTGAGGCCAGACCAGCCTGGGAAACACAGTGATACCCCATCTCTTAAAACAAAAAGCAATTAGCCAGGTATGGTGGTATGTGCCTGTAGTCCCAGCTACTTGGGAGGCTGAAGCCAGAGGACTGTCTGAGTCCAAGAGTTTGAGCCTGCAGTGAGCTATGATTGTGCCACTGCACCCCAACTTGGGTGACAGAATAAGACTGTGTTGAAAGAAAAGAAAGGAGTGAAGGGAAGGAGGGAACGAAGAAAGGAACGAAGTCAGTCAGTCTTGAGGAACTGACAAATCATAACCCCAAATTAGGATACAATTTAAAAGCATTCAGAATCTCCATAAAATCTCTCAATAATGGATCAGCAGGTTATGAGGGTATGTGTTTCTGGTCTAAAAAGTTCCTTAACGTGGCCGGGTGTGGGGGTTCACACCTGTAATCTCAGCACTTTGGAAGGCTGAGGCAGGTGGATCACAAGGTCAGGAGTTTAAGACCAGCCTGGCCAAGATGGTGAAAACCTGTCTCTACTAAAAATACAAAAAATTAGCCAGGCATGGTGGTGGGTGCCTGTAATCCCAGTTACTTGGTACTCAGGAGGCTGAGGCAGAGAATTGCTTGAACCTGGGAGGCACAGGTTGCAGTGAGTCGAGATCTCACCACTGCACTCTAGCCTGGGCAACAGAGTGAGACTCATCTCAAAAAAAAATTCCTCAACTTAAATCTAGCAATGTATAAAATGCATTCAACTCATCGCAGGTTTCTATTTGTTGAAAAATTAGAAACTGCACTGGGTCTAATTTTTTTCCTCCTTTTAAAACAAAATCTTGCTCTGTCACCTAGACTGGAGTACAGTAGTGCCATTTTGGCTCACTGAAACCTCTACCTCCCAGGTTCAAGGGATTCTCCTGTCTCAGCCTCCATCCAGAGTAGCTGGGATTACAGGCACATGCCACTGTACCCAGCTAATTTTTGTATCTTTAGTAGAGACAGGCTTTCTCTATGTTGGCTAGGCTGGTATCAAACCCCTGACCTCAGGTGATCCACTGCCTTGGCCTCCAAGTGCTGGGATTATAGGCGTGGCCACTGAGCCAGAGGTGGGAGGTAGGAGGATTGTTTGAGGCTAAGAGTT